CCCGTTTTAGTTAATACAGTTGAATTGCATCATTTTTCTGTCGTCATTTTAGTAGAATTCCCGTTGGTACGTTAGCGAGGTAAAGTGCTCTTTGCTATCCCTCGTTAGTGTGGCAAAAATATTTAAGGGGAAGTTATGTTTTCTTTCGGTACATTTAACAATATTTGAGTAAAATAAAAGTTCGTTGTATGTCACTTTGTTTTAGCATTTCCATCTTATAATCAGGTGGACCATGTCTCTTTCCATCACCTTCATTGTGGAAACGTGTAACATTTCAAAGTAGCACTTAATAGCCCTCCAGGAAGGGGTAAATTTGGCGGAACGGGTATGGCATCGTTTTTCAAGATGATGACCAAATGATCTTAATCTTGGATTCACGGAAAAGCTTGAAAGTATTACCTTAAGTTATTTCAATAAAGTCTGTTAAAAGAAAGAAAAAAGTTTATTCAACGAGACTTAAATGGAAAAATGAGAAGAAATGATAGCCACTATTCAACCCATCTCTTCCATTCCAGCTGGTGTACAGTACTATATATGTGATGATGACTACACTATTGGTGAAATGCAAACAACAGTGTTGCTGCAACGTCGTCCAGCGGTTTGTTAGTCTCCAATCTTTGCGCGGTTTACCTCATTTTTAAAAATAGCTTTCGCGCCAATAAATTATCAGTCAGAATTTTTCTTTGTGTTTCTGTATGTCGTTTCGTATAAGTATCCAAACCGTCAGGTATGTTCTTGCTATCCTTTCTTCGTTTGATTTTCATTCACCACTGGTTATGTAACTAAAAATTTGAGAGTTTATTGGCATATTCGCTGCAGGTGTAGATTCAGAGGCCTGTAGCACCAGACATCCTAGACAAATGATCAAACGATTTTCACATTTAAACGGAGTGCCATTTATATAAAAAATATTCACCCGCAATTTCTCTGGCTCGGCGCCAATCACTTTTTCTGTTCCAGCAAAACAACTATTTCTGCCTATTTCACGTCGCTACATTGCCAGACCTGATACTATGCGTCAAGCCCTAAAAAGCCATTCCCTGTTTACGCAAGCATTCGCACGAATCGTCAATGCTAATGTGATCAGCTTCTAAAGTTATTTCTAAATCATAAGATCACTGACTTATCAAATTTTTCATAATACATCACGTGCAGTGATGGTATGTCGATAGAACCTCCTACTAATTAGCATGCGGTCTTTTCTCAGATACAAAGTCACTGCACGTATTTTTTTTCGTGATCTAATTTCCAACGTTCTCAAAATAATCAGTTATGGCATCTATGGAGACAAGATTTTCCAAGAATGTCTTTGAGGACTCTAAATAAACTCGTAGCCATGTGTTTAAATCGGTCTAAAATCACTCTCTTTTGGCCCTCGATATCAAATCCGATATTCACTGTTGACCGTTTATTAACCATTACATAAGCATCGCATCTGTGTACCCGGGTAAAACATTCCTTCATACTTGAGAGAGTATTAAACTGAAACCTATATAACTCTCAGCTTAAGTGACCTCTTTTAAAAAGCACTCGGTACAGTATGTTTCTTGACATGGTCGTTTCAGTTAGTAAATGAATAATATGCAAGCAAAAATGTGACTCTGTTTCCCTTGCAGTTGTCTTTCGTATCATGGCTCACTAGTTCGGCCGCTTGCCTTTGCCCTGTTGCAGCAATAATCAGCTGTCTCCTCCAGAATTTTCTTTCAAACTTTCAAACCTAACCCTAACCCTAACCCTAAGCAAACTTCTCGAGAATATTTTAGCGTTTGTATTCTTTGTCTAGCATAGGTCGACAGCAGTAGTCACTACAGGAAAGATATCATGCTCGTAATCTCACCCATATTTCGTACGAACTGTTGCGTAAAACCCCACGAGAATTTTAGTTAGGGCATCCGATTTATAATTTCAAATCCGTTTTTTAGTCGGTTGTTATACATTTGTGGGGTGTTATTATTGTATCATGGGTATGATATGACAAATTTTCTCCGCTAACATTGCTTGTGCGATATCATTTGGCACAAAACTTACTTACTGACTGGTTTTATCAAACTTTTAACTGTCGTGGTAGTCTCCAAAAAAAATTACGAACTAGCCACAGTAAAGCTTCTTTCAGTTAATTGATTAGCTGAATTGTCGTCTTCGATTTTTCGATCTTGCATAGTTAGCACAAAATAATCAAATTCAAACCTGTGAAGCCGTTTGTTCTAGGTATCAAAGGTAATTCCGCGCTGAATGTACATAACACATATAGAGGGTAGAACAAACCCATTCCAGCACAAGTCTCAGGCAAGCTTTTCCCCTTGTAGTTATATATTTCTGTCTAGCTGCACAGCACGGCGTCGTTATTAACGAACTCTTTTCCGGGCATAGCTTATCAAAGTTTTGGTATTGGGAAATATTGGGTTGATTAAAATTTAAAAATCGGTTATTAGTTAAAGTCCTCTCATTTCAAGTAAATAGCAGAGACAGATGTATCTTCTTTTTTTTTACGTTCTAACATGAACTAAATTTATTCTATATCAATTCGTCATTTTTTTCCTGTTTACTTTTATCACTTCTTAGGTTTGGTTTCTATCATTGGAATAACAAAGAATGATATTTCTTTCTCTGCAAGAGATTCTTTCTTTTATTAGTTTTATTAGTGACGCTAAGCACCACGGTTCTTCTATGGCATTGTTTCAAATGAGTTGACCCATTGAGGCTGAAAAGTAAAATTTTAAAAAAGTGATGAAATTGTGAATCTTTCAAAATTTTAATCCTTCAAAAGCTTTCTTGATAACTAATAATGTGTTACTGGAGCCTTTAGCAAATTTTACCCTATATCTTTAATAATACTAAGGAATAGCTGAAAATGTAAGTTCAAAGTTGGGAAAACACAGAAATTTGGGTAGTGTTGAGTCCAGGTTGTTGTTGTATATGTTTTAGTCTCAGTAGGAAGGTAAGTGAGAAGACACAGAAGTGTACGATACAAATAGTTTCAGATTAGGAACAGTTTAACCCCGGGATCAAAAGACGATTATCTTTGTTAATCTGACGCAAGACTGATGCCATGCATTTTGGAACCACCCTAGACTTTCTAAGGCAAAATCTTTTAATATATACATATTTATGGCAAACCAGCTGACAGGGTTCACGATTTTACTTACTTAGGCGTGGTATTTGATGGTCATCTTAATTTGAACAGTCACGTAAAGCAAATGTCACGTCTTCCCTAGGTTACTTGACGACTCAAAGTGCCAATACTGTTTACATCTGGTTAATTAAACCAATTCTAGGTTACAAAGATACACTGTGGGGTTTCTGCGGTTATGAAAAGAGTTAGGTATTGAAGGCTTTGCAGAAAAAGGCAGGTGGAACTGTTACTAGAACAATTTGAAGCAGCCTTGCCGCGGAGATTTTTAGGTGGCCTGCGATTGGAGAAAGACGCCAGGAGCATATTTTTCAGCTTGTAAAGAAATGCGTTTTTCGCAATATTTTAAGATTTATTTAACTTTTAACAATAAGATTCACACGCGTGACCTGTCAAAACGGAAGTAACAGAGATATATTTTTATCACCAGGGATGTATCGCTTTCAAGAATTTTTCTAGACGACGATATGTTATGTAAACATTAAATTAACGCATACAATTTGAATTTTATGTTCATGCAAACATTGATATAATGAAATGTTTCGCTCGGGGATCCTATCTATAACAGGTTGTATGCAACATCTGAAAGGACCATCCTGGCCTTGAAATTAAATAAAGAAGTCTATCGTTTTTCTGTGTTGTGTCTGTTACATAAATAAAACATTCTACTGAATTTATTCAAATTATACTCAGTCCGCTTAAAAAAGTCGCGCGAAAACATCACTTTATTTTCAGTTACCATGGTAACTGATCAAAATACACATCGAAAGCTAAGATACCCTCTTATTGAACGAAAAAGAAAGTAGTTTTTCAAGCCAAAGTTATCGAAGGTCTCTCTGAGAATCGTATAAGAACAAGTTATTCACGAATAAGAAAATAGATCGTGGGGCGTATTCAGTCAAATTGTAAAAAAAAAAAAAAAAACTCTCGCGGATGTGTCAAACAACAACAGAGGTATGCGCAAGGGTTTTGTTTCTCCTTGTTTTCAACTGAATCATGACCAATCACAGCTATTCATGCATTCTGCATGAAATTGTTCAACAGCTGATTTGTGACCCCGAAAAGCTTGGTCTACTCATTTCCCGGGTTGTAAATTGTATTGTTTCTGGACGTGATACACATTTCTGCAATCTGCAAGCATGGATCTACGGGTTGGAATAACAAAGGATTATTTGTCGATTCACCTTTGAGGTACTTCATGGTTACACTGCTGCAGGGCATTCCATTGATCCGGAGAAGTCGTTCGAAACTTTTGATGACTGCTACATTTCTTGATTTCTTTCGTCGTTGGCGTTTTTTGAGTACAAAATTTTTCTGTTGCAAAGTCTATAAATGAAAAATGTCTTAAATAGTACGAAGAAGCAGTTCTCCTTATCTCATATCAAAGGCAAATATAGAAGTGTTGAGTTTTATTTGAGAAAACATTCATCTCTACAAGTGCATTGAATATAAAATTTGTGTGGGTGTGTAACACTTATGCTAAATAATAAATTACGCTGTAAATATAAAATTAAAACCAACTAAGGTTCAACTTTTTCTACTACTACCGTCTTTATTATGTGGCAATTTGATACAAACTTTATGATTAGTTAATAGGCGGATACCTTGAATGAAATATGAATTAAGGGGTGTCCACTTGATACAAATTCCATTGTGTTTACAATGTGTTTTTCATTTGATTTTATTCGTTTCTATGTTTGTTTTTGTTTTTGTCTTTGTTTTGTTTTTGTTATTGTTGTTGTTTTTTTTAATAATGTATGGTGCTTTTTGTCGTGCTATGATATTATTTTGTACACCAAGCAACACCTTGTTGTACACTATCAAGATAGGAATGAGGTAACAATAGCAGCTCCCATGAACTCTTGAGACGAGGTCTCACTGAACGAAAATGTAGCCAGTTGTTATAATATTTTTGGGTCCATTGTCTGCAATATATTTTGCTACATCACCACACGTGTTAAAGTAATTAGGAACTCCACCTGTGCCAAACCCAATTCTGGAATCGGGTTGGGCACAGTCGTTTTCGTTGTTGCCAATGATACCGATTCTTGCTTTGGAAAAGGATTTATAGGAGCTTACGGGTGATACATTGAACCCTTCCCTGTTGCAGTTATATTGCAAAGAGCCTTGTGTACCAAGCAGCGATTTCCACGTTTCACGGCCTAATGAGGTGGGTCGATACTGATCATCGGCGATTAGTGAGTGGAGAGAGTCTGCCGAGCGGTTTATGGCAATGAACCGTGCAAAGTCTTCGCCGGGGATCCTCATACCGAGACAGATCTTGGAGAAAGCTGTGTTCCAATATGTCGGTAACTTAGTCTCTTCTGAGTCAAATCCTGTCTCTCCACCGGCAAGATTGTATGGTTCTTTGTTCGTCCAGAGAGCAGAGTTGTAGTGAAACGTTTGCTTAAGAATTAGAAAATTGATGATAGAAATAGTTATCAAATCGCAAACATATACCAAATTCACTTGAAGAATCGGATTAATAATAACACACACAAGACTTCACAAGTATTTTTTGGCTCTAAAGGAAAGCTTGCAAGCTAGTTATTAGGGGTGTGGTAATAGTGGAGGAGTACTTGAAGTTCTTAAAAGGGTGTTCACGAGCATGAAAAAGAGTTAAGTTCCATATTTTATATTTGAAAAAAAATTACCTTATTTTTAGACATTTGAAGTATTTTTAATGTAGGTGGTATTTCTTGCGGATGATGCTGATATAGAACAGGTCTCTCATCTTTTTTATTCTGTATGTTTTTCTGGATTTTTTTTAGTGCACTAAATTATGGTGTTTTGATGAATCGTGATGTTTTGACAAACAATTAGTTCCACTTCTCGTGGTCCTAAGGTAAAAGTTTGAGGAAAATGCTCTCAAGAGACTTCTAAGTTGTTTCAAGTTCGTGAAAAGTTTGAGTGATGCAGGGTAAGGTTTATTGAGGGAAATTCGATTAAATTATGACGGACATCCAGGAAAAGCCAACTACGCTCTCACTTATTGGGAGTTCCAAGTTGGCAAAGGTCGACAACCGATGTAGAGGGCCTTATAAATCTCGATAGTGCCAATTTTGATAAGAACCTTTGATCCGTTCATCTTCATGACCAGTGTCCAGCCACCTTCCCCACATGATCCCAAGCTGGTGTCGTTCAAGACACAGAATACGTTAACCTGTGCGGTCCCGAAGGTTAACAAGAAGGCTTTGTTCTCTCTGGACCTGAGATCATCAAATGTTATATATATAAGCAGATTATCGTATCATAAACCCTCATTTTACGTCATCATTACCAAAAAGGCATGGCCAATATTGAGGATTTCTGATTTTGTTATAAGTTCCTCCACAGATGTTGCCAACTGAATACCTGCCCTTTTTGATAACCAGTCATAGTACAGAGTTCGCATCATATTGCCCAATTGAGGGAACCAGCCATACTCAAAACTTTTTCACAAACAACAGTTATTTTTGCTTCGCAGGGAAGTTTGTTTCGACAACTTTAACAGAAATTGCCATGTTTCTGATCGAAATTATCCTGGCGTCGAGGACTTAGCCATTTTTAAGTGGAGAATAATAAGTTCGAAGAAAAAGACCCAATTCGGAGACTCTGAAAACTACATATGCATAATCGGAAACATGACACAATCTGTTCATGTCAACTGAGCACTTTTCTTTTGCAACCTTCGCAAATGCCATGCAGTCCTCGGGAATCTTCCATTTAATTGCTTTCAGTATTAGGTTAAAATGGATTGTGGGGAGCAGGTCAATACTTAGTCATTTTGAGCGATAAAGTATGAAATTTATCATTTGGCTACCTGATCACACAAAGGAATTGCAAAATGAATTCAGAACGTCTTTGGTTAACCTTTTAGAGAACGGGATTCTCATCATTTTCCTCATGTTATTCACAGTCGATCTATATTTTCGGTGGTTCAATAATGAATTGTTTCAGTGACGTAAATCTGGTGGGAAGAAATAACCTCCCCGTTACCGACTCCGGCTTACCGAGTGCACTTTTACAACTGTCCTTTATGAGTAACACGAAGCAGAACCTGGCAAAGCAAAATTTTAGTGCAGGAAATAAAGAATCAGAGAATAGTCTAAAAAATGATGTTAAAAAAGTTTAATTGACACAAGGTACTTACAAAGTCCGCGCGTAAATCTCCTTGGCTGATGAAAAACGTTCAGCTGAAATAAAGAGACTTGATGATCATCTCAGGCTCAATGACAATTGTCGAAATATAGAGTTTTACTCATAGTGAGACCACAAAGGAGAAATGTGATTGCTTTTTTGCTTTTTTCCGAAACCTAACCGAATTTGGCTAATACTGCCCTAATGTTAAATCATGTTTTCTACCGCCCTAGGCCCTTTTTCATGTACTAATATGGCTCTGGTATATCATTTGTCTTATCTGTTGGTTATTTAACCTCTTTGACAATGCAACCCTGAAGTAACAAGCACCTCTTGGTTACTTTTACATACATAAATTATATGATAGCAAGCTGAACAGTGAGAAACCTCGGCAATTCTTGCCGTTTCCTTGATATCCAGGTTTACAAATGCATTCATAAGAGCCTTCGGTGTTTTTGCAGTCCGCATGAACATCACAACCATGTTTTCCAGTAGAGCATTCGTCCACATCTGAAGGAGAAATCCAGTGATCCTTAGATACGCAAACCTAGTCTGGGTAAGCTCTCAGTTTTTTAGGATCTTCCTAAACATATCTGTCTTTGATGGACGGCACTAAGGACATTACGCGGGTTCCCTGGGTGGTCACTGGAGACATGTTTCGCCAACTGCTGGCCGGTGAATCGTATATTTAAGATAATTTTTTTCGATCTTCATAGTTCATTTCAATTTAGTGGACATTTGTCCAATTTTTTTTCTTATTAACCTTTTTTACTGTCAAGCTAATGAGAATTGTAATATTGTTAAAATCTAACTATGTCCATCATTAGAAATACGAGTTAAAAAAGTATTGTAAAGCTCTTCTCGCTGAATGAATGGAATGATCCGTCTGATATAAATCAGTTGGCTTATATTAACATTTAATCAATTTGATAAGTTTAATCTCGAAGGTCCCGAAGTAGTGAACATGACAGCAATCTGATATTATTTCTCACACAGAGTATCACTATCCCTCAATTTCCTGCCTAGGCAACTACCACAATAGTTGCAACGACAGACAAATGTCTTCTCTTCACTGACCCAGGAATATTAAGTTTTTTTTATTGGGGAAGGGAAAATTCTTAACACGCTTCGGCTGGCTGTGGTTATGGCTAAATTTCTCACCTGTTTTGCAATTTAGGCCAGCGAATCCCTGGAGACACAAACAGCGATATCCTCTCTCTGAAAAACCGGTTTGGCAGGTAGCATTCAAATGACAAGGATTACTGGAGCAGCTATTCTGTAAGAGAGTTGGTAAACAATTAAACGACTAAAGGAAACGACCAAAAACAGACACGAAAATAAAAGAAACGAAAAGGAAAAGGAAAACAATAGACAATTTTTTGACGCCTTCTCTTAGGCTATATTTAACAGACAACTGCATCTAAAACTTTTCCTCTGGAGAACTTTTCGAAAAATGAAGTTGATATTTGATATATTTACCACTTGTAGCGTAAATTGAAATATAAGCCTCAAGGACAACAAGACCTCATGAACTCGCCTGGGCTATTTAGGCGGAGAATGCTCTCCACTATACTAATGCATAATTTCTTTCCGTCCGATATTTCAGAGATCTCGCGTAAACGTGCACTAAAATTTGTGGTTGGTTGATTTCAGTTCATCCAATAAGTTCCTTCCTACATTTAGTAGCTTTCCGTGAAAAGAATGATGGACAATGATTGGTTGAGAAATGTTTGGAGCATCGAAGGATATGATACTATGGGTATGGATCATACCTCGGCTGCGTAGTACTCGTAATCCATGTCTTTCTTCAGGTCTCTTTCGTGTCCTTCGTGTGTAGCATTATTTAGTTCGCATTTCTGCTTTCCAGTTTCACTTATCGTCATGAAATTATAGCTGAAACAGTTATCCTCCAAAAAGCATAGCACATCGCAAAATTCTTGGCCCTTAACATAGGCGATACGCATGGTGTGGTTGATGAAGCGTTTACCTTTAAACGTTCTGGTCGCTGTAAACTTTAAACTGCGACATGACGCTGAAAAAATAAGACGAAGTTTGAAGATGACAATCTCTTTTTAGTTGTTGGTTATTACGGGTTCGATATCACGCTGACTGCAAAGTGCATGTGTAAGTTAGACGGAATCAAAAAACGTCGCTCGCTACTTAAATTATACCAAAAAGTAACTAGTAGTATCTTGGCTAGAAAAAGACAAAACAACAACAGCAAAAAAAAAAAAAGAAAAAAAAAGAAAGGCAAGAAACGGGTATTACTGGTGATCTGCACCACAGTTTCGAAACAAAGTTTCCGTTGGATCATTCAATCATACAATTAACTATGAATTCATGAGTTCGCTTATCTTACATGGTTGAACATTAACCAAAAATAATCAAATTCAAACCTGCAGAGTCTATTGCTTTGGGAATCAAAGATAACCAGAGGAATAAAAAACAAGAGCGCTGGGCAGACATGACAAATATAGAGGGTAGAAAAAAAAATCAAGTTTCAAAACAAGTCTCTCCTGGGCTTTTCCCTTTTCATTTCACAGCTTGTTTAACTGAAAACAACTGACTTGAAAATTACTTCTTTATTCTCCTTTTCAATAAGGCTGCACAGTAAGACTCTTTTGGTAATTATTTTTTTCCAAACATGTTTTTTCAGAGTGCTTGGTTACTAAAACAAATTTAAATACCTCATCATGGTCTGATTCTGTTTCCCTGAATACATTAGCTTGATTGAATTTTAACTCAACTGTAATTCGAGGAATATGCGATACAGGGGTCCACTTCACTTTAATAAAAAAATATGGAGATAGAGATGTCTTCCTTTCCCCTGTCTCTTCCAGTTTCATGGTAAGAAATCAACGTTCTTTTATTTTCAATCCATTTGTCAATTTTTTCCCGTTAACTTTGAATTGTTGCTCAGGTTCGCCTATTTAGGTTTGAAATGACAAGAGTGATATTTCTTTCCCTGCAAGAGGTTACTTTTCTTTGACAGAGGACGCAAAGTACTAAATCATTTCCCTCATATTTTTAAACAAATAATTTTGAAGGTCATCAAAACATTTCCTTGAAATACAACAATGTAATATTTCACAATTAACGTGTTACTAGAGCCTGCAGTCACCATATAATCTTTAAAAATCTCATGGAATTATTTTGATTTTAAAGATGAAAAAAAAAAAAAACCAGATAATTTGTGGTTAGCTTAGTGTCCATGTGACGGCCTTAATTCCAGTCAAGAGAGGAGCGAAGAGATAAGTTGATATAAACATTTTTAGATTAAGAACACAGGTTCAACCAGACAATCACAATGTTCCCAGCAGTTGGCGAGCATGAGGGTGGTGTAACATCGCCCCGATTGTTTGAGGATTGTTTGGGAGGAAACTGAGAACTGAAACGATGGTAACGACGAGGACGATCCACGTTTCTCCGAATGATTACTGACTTAACGAGACTTACAGCGTACATTGTGTAGTTAACTTTTATGAGAAAAAAAGGTCTCAGGCCCTGAAAACATATATCTTCAGCGCTGGGTAGCTATGACTAGTATATATGACAAAAGAAACCCGTATTCAGTACATGTAAACATGACAGAAAACAGTTATTTTTAAAATCAATCGCTTTTTTCTCCCTTTTAATCAGACTGTACAGAGGGGATTCCTCACTCTTAACTATATCCTAAGAATTTTGCAACGAAGTGTTTGGTTCAGGTGAGGCAAAGATCCGATCCAAAATTTTCGTTCCTCTTTTTTTTTAATTTATTTTGTATTATGACTGTAAAAACTGAGCAAACAAGCCAACTGGAGCTGTTTAAGGGAATATTCATTTCTTCACCGCATAGCACATACATGCTTTTCATATATTAACAGTCATTATTCACCACTTGGAAGGAACATATTGGCCAGCTCCCAGTTAGCCTGCTAGCTCATTTGGCACCGGTATCGCAGAGGTCATGAGTTCAAATCCCCTACGGGCGTGAATTTTTTTCGGGTCTTATTTCAACTACTAGCTAGTAGTGTTCATAGCTGCGAGGATAGCTTATATTCGTTCTTTTGTATTACTAGACATAATGGAAGAACTCTTCTTCTTTGATACTTCAAGTTGTGTCTATAGCTGCATGTTCATTCAATTTTCGCGGTTTTAAACGGCCAATTTGTGGAATCGAAACCGCTATACTTATCACCTTACGACATCTCTTCATTGTGAAATGTGATGAAGTGAAGAAGAATTTGAAGTGTCGATGGTAATCAGTGACAAAATGATCCTTACACGTGAGCTGTCCACCAGATATCAGCTAGTTCAAACTAGGCTGAGGAGCCACAAATTGGGGACCCAACGATTTTTTGCAGCGTTTTTGTTTCGGATTTTTGTTTTCACGTTTTTTTTATTTGTAATATCCGAGCTGTAGATTCACCTATGGCAATAATTTCGTTTTTTACATTGTCCTTTCCTCTCTGTCATCCTTTTTGGCTGCGACTGCGCAGCATTGTTTCGAAATGCAAGCGAGCGTGCGGCAGCAAAGCAAAGAAAGGCCTCTGCATGTGCAATTATTTGCGTTAAAATAAAAACACACAAAAAAAACTCATTCGGTGTACTCTCCTACAATTAAAGTATAATTTTGAGAATTCTCTCTCCTCTAGGCTAATTATGACCTACCAATGGTGGACTTTTAGTATACTAAATTAGATAACAAAATTCAATGTTTTCTCTTGATACTACAAACCCTCAGACCTGTCCCCATTGTGCTCGTAACTTTTGAGCAACTTCTAACGTTTGGAGCAAATTTCTGGCAACTTAGAGCAATTTTTACCTTTCTGAGCAACTTTCGAGCAAAATATGTGTTTATAGCACATATCAATCATGAAGAAGTCAACAATTTCATTGAAAGCTAACACATAACCCGTCACTTGACAAAGTTTTGAAAGCTCATTGCGATCTGTTTCTCATATTAGAACGGATAATTGACTAAAATGACGTTCGGCAAGACGTCAAGTGAAGCATATGTCTTGTTCCCTTTGACTTAAGTATCCTTAGGTTTTAAGCAGTTTTTCTAGACCGATGTTTAGGACTTTTTGCGTATAACGAAAAATAAAGCTTTTAATTAACGTTTATGTAGAAATATCTAGAAATTTAGGTAGAAACTTTCAAAATTTAGTCAGCAAGTTTTTAGATTTTTACTTTTTGGCATTCCAGTGAACAACTTTTACGGGCACAATCGAGATAGTCCATCAAACCCAGGCGGTACAGCCTCTAAAGTTGCCTTTCGCCGAATTTTTACACGTATGTGACACTTTTTAGTTCTTAAAATAATTAGTTATTAGTTAACAAGTATGCTCTCGGTTTTTATTCCCATTTATTGTAACCGGTGCATTAAGAGATCTTTTTGGGGGAGCTCAGTTAGATGGAGACAGGGAAATGAACCGCGGAGCTGCTACCCGCGGCAGTTTTTCACACCACTTAAAAGTAAGTGTTTTCCTACTATCTACCTGTGTTTGGAATACTCTAATGTTCTGATTCCATTTTGAAGCACCGCTGCTGAACTGTGGAACGTCGATGAATACCTAAAAAGATATGAAAAGATAAAAATTGCAAGTAAATGAAACCAAAAAGATTCTAAAGAATGCTTTCAAGAAGATCGTGATTTTAATGAATAAATATGTATCCCATGGCTTTGATAAGACTTTGCCCGTTATCTGGATCGTGTACCAAAAACACCACATTACCGTATGAGTTACAATCCTCTGGACTCCCACCATACCAAACCCAATTTTGGAATCACAAGATATGCAATCGTGCTCGTTGTTTCTAATGATGCTAATTCTTGCTTTTGCCCCATTTTTAGGATTCTCAACAGAGCCGCTAATTACGTTGAACCCAGTAGCCGATTGGTTTATGGCGATAAAACTCAAGGTTTGAACACTAGGAATATTCATATTAAGACAAATAGACAAATCTTGGAGAAGGGTGTGTTCCAGTATGTTGACAGCTTTGTCTTTTGATGAAATCCGGTTTTCCCATTTGCAGGCCGGTGTGTTTCTTTGTTTCTCCAAAGTTCGGAGTCATAGTGAAACGTTTGCTGCAGCGTAAGAGGGTAAGAATGAAACCTGATATCGCAGATGAAGGAAAAATTGAAATACAGTCGTCTCAGACGACGGTTGTTGCAGAAAGCAAAATACAAATAAAAAATTGAAACTGCCCGCATTATAAAGAAAAGCTCAATTTCATTGAAGTCAATGTTAAGCGCAAACCCCTACCCTTGCAGTTTACAGAAATTTCCTTAACCGAAAACGAATAGCAACCTTGACTGAAAAATTAACGTCCCCGTGTTGTAGACACTTAGTTAGTCTGTTTCTTGGAGCTTTTTTGCCCTTTTGTAAGTGGTGAAATGAGTTTTGCACATGTTATTGAATCCTCTATCACTGAGTACTTTCAGTATTTTTCTCTATCCCTCTACCTGGTCGACGTGAGTTAGTGAATAGGGATGTTCTGTTGTGATGTGTTTGTAAATGCTTACCAGCTCGTTTTTATTCTGAAAAAATTAACCTTATCTTGGCACTGATGATAATCACCTCTTCTCCATTAATTTTCATAGCCAGTGTCCAGCTACCTCCTCCACACTGATACAGAGCGCATTCTTCCAAGACACAGAAAACGTGTACGTTTTCAGATCCGACTCGCAATAAGATTGTCCAGTAATTTACTTTTGGAGCGAGCTTTCTTGCCACAATCCATAGGAATGTACAACTGCAACTCTGCAACGGAATACGGAAATAATTTGAATGAATAACAGCCGGAGCTTAGGTTATAAATCGATGGAAAACTTTGATAAAATTGAATTCATTTCGTGTACTCGAAACTTTCTTTTTGTATAAAAATGCCTGAGAAATTGTTGCTTCAAGACTCGCTCTCTATCTAAACCTTAAAAAGTATCTTTGATTTTCTCAATTCCCTGCTATAGAAGAAAAAACGTAACGCAAACCGCAATATTTCAGTATTAGCTGACCTATATTGTGAGATGAAGCTCTTTAATAATTAAGAGGAGCTGAATTTCTCATCTTACAACATTAAATGGGTAAATATAAAAGTAACCTGTTGAAGACCGTATGAGCGATAAAATAATGTAAGTTATACAAATTCTAGGCGCATCACACATGGCAAGAGAAAGTAGAACGCTTTCCTAATCCAAGTGTTTTCACTTCCTACTCCTCTGTGTGAATCACTTAAAGTACACCACGATGACTCTTCATGAGGACAAAGCAACATTCAATACAATGTGGTCGTTAAGTATATTTTCATATTCTCATTCTCTTGTATTCATATCACGCTGAGTATCAGAACTTTTAGCGCCTCTTTTATGATTTTACCCGTTTAAGACTGCAGTTACGGCAGTCGGGAGCTTTGCTTTTCCTTTTAGCTCAACAAGCGTTTTTAATTACATCTTGAAGACCCTTGAAAGATCCCTACTGGCTGCCAACTCGATCTTTAAGGCGACAACGTTTTATAATCGCACGGCGGTCTTTTGTTTACACATTTCAGTAGCTTCAGTCCGAATACTTTATTAGTTTTGTTTTTCATTTTTTTCTTTGGCTATTTTGATGGAAAGAGGGAGGAAGAAGGGGACATTATCGACTTAAAAAGCCTATATTGCTTAGAATGTTTTTTTTTTGTGGACAACGAATAAGATGCAACCCCTTTGACATGCATGTCATCAAATAATCTCCGATGCAAGGATCAAGGTTACAGTGTGATCTAAGGCTGTTAAATTTATTCATGGGAATAATTTATCTAACAACATGAAAAATTGATGTTAGCATTATTTGGTCAATTATTTTAAGTCCAAATTCCTTGAAATTATTAGATTCTAAAATGACGAGGGGTCCTAAATCTTTATCCGGTTAAGAGAGAGCGGGCGTATATTTTGTAAGGCGTAATGTTAATGATAGTGCACTACCAATCAAAATAAACACATGAACTGCCGTGGGAGTTAATCCCTTTTTTTACAATGTGTTTCTACATTTCCACCTCAATGAAACGATAAGACTTTTCCTCAGAGTTTTCACGCATTTATCGTTCTTTATAGCATCTACTCGTCATCGATGCAAAAAGCACCACTTCTATTCTAATGGGGCATATCATCACTTTTTATCTTGTAAATGAATAACATGTCTCCCCATGAATCTATCTATAATTGTATGCGTTGTTCTCAAAAATTGATAATCCTAAAAACCACTCACCTCCGACTGAGTTAAGATAATTACACTTTATTGTTTATTAGCCGGAGAAGATCGATCTTCTTAGTCAGACTTATTTGTTCTACAGAATGTCATTGAGGACCCTACAGCTGTTCCTTGATTTTGTGTTCTAACGTAACTGAGAAGATAAGAACGAGACAACCTTTTTCTTGTCATCTTTAATTACAATCGCTAACATTATCGTCATAGCCTCTTTAATTATTTTGTTGTTATTATCATTAAAATTACTACCATAATTGGAACAAAACGTCATTCAATGATTCTTAAGAGTTTTTGTTTCTTCCTACGACGCAAAACACAAAACAAAACAAAACAAAAAAGGAAAACTGCAGGTGATATAGACTCAGAGTTGATGAAGAAGTTTGTTGAGGTTTTTAATGAAGTGTTTTAAGTACCAAGCGGGTAAAAAGCGATTATAGGATCAAATGGATTCAAGCAAGACCGGCTAAAACCTTCGAACAAAAACAAATCGTGTACTTTACGTGACGCCTCAATAAAAATTTGAGGTTTTTACCCTATTTCGTTTTTTAATGTTGGCCATAGAAAAAGGTTTTCACCAAATGTTTTGTTTTGCTCTGTTTTTGTTTGTATGTTTTTTACTGGTAAGATCTAAAAAAAGTAATTGTAGTGTCGTCCTCCAGTTTGCTTCCTCGCTCCAAAATGACCAGATCGTGTCGTCATCATTTATAAAACTGTCTTATCTTCGAGTAACATCCATTCCGTCTTTCTCTGCTTTTTAATGCATTCCCCTAAATGCGATAATTTGATCAAATTATCTTGTTTGTGTTGTTCTCTCCTTTGCTAGAGATTCATAAGTAAAAAATTATCATACTAAATACTATCAACAGAGATATCATAAATGCTTGCACGTGCTGCTAAACTTTTTTTTTTTAAATACCCAGCTACTTAAATGAATGATTCTATGAAAATGTTAAATGTTAAAAGCTCTTGATAACTATGTCCAGAGAAAAGCACATAAGTATGGCTATGTTTCATTGAATAAAAATGTATCCCATGGCTTTAATATGCTTGTCACCATTATCTGGGGCGATGACTGCCTCGTTACCGCACGTGTTCGATGAATCATGGTCGCCGGTCGTGCCAAACCCGATTCTAGAATCACAAGTACCGCAATCGGCCTCGTTGTTACCAACGATGCCAATCCTTGCTTTTGCGTGGCTCTGACTGTTGCAAATTACATTGAACCCTTCCTTTCTACAGCCTAGCTGAAGAGAGCCTTGGGAACCAAGGAGCGATTTCCATTTAGCGGCGCCCAATGATGTGGAACGGAATTGTTGGTCAGCGATCGAAGAGTACAAGGAGTCAGCCGATTGGTTTACAGCGATGAAATGCACAGTTTGTTTACCAGGGATCTTCATGCCGAGACAAATCTTTGAGAAGGGTGTCTCCCAATAAGTGGGTAATTTCGTCTCTTGTTCGTCAAATCCTGTCTCACCTCCCACGATATTGAAAGCAGTTTTGGCGCTCCATAAAGGGGAGCCATATTGAAATGTTTGCTACAAAATTAAAGCAAGTGAATAAAATAATCAGGATTGGGACAAATGATTTGGATCCTTTCTTCATCAAATCAAACGTAATTAAAGGATTTCATTCAGAAGGCGTGAGGCGTGAGTAGTTTGTGAGGCGTGAGTAGTCCAGTGGTCAGTGTGCTGGACTCTGGGTCCGACAGCCTGGGTTCAAGTCCTGGCTGGGCATGACGTTGTGTCCTTAAGCAAGACGCTTCACTCACATTGCTTCGTCTTCTTGGATAGGACGTAAAACCGTAGGCCCCGTCTCCTGTAGGGTTGGGGTAGGAGACGTTAATTTCCCACGCACGAGATTACTGTGTGGTGGATGTCCTCCCCTGGGGTGGGATGGGTGGAAGAGACACATGGCACATTTGCATTTAAACGAGCTATTCGCTCATATGCGATATGTGGTTAAATAAAGTTACTTACTTACTTACTTACTTACTTACTTACTTACTTACTTACTTACTTACTTAGAAATAAACGAAACTTTTTCAGTCTCTCTAATCTTATTCCCCTAGTTGACATCTTAAAGTTAAGTTCTATTTGTCTCCGACCATGCATCCGTATCTCTGATTTTTCGGCTGTAAATCTTAACTTTTTTCTGCAAACATTAAGGGGGCATGCAGCTATTGTATGACCAACAAAAATAAATAACTAAAACAACCTGTGCTCCGTTAATCTTCATGACCAGCGTCCAGCCACCTCCTCCACAAGGTCCCAAACTTGTTTAGTTCAGAACACAGTAGGCGAGAATACTTTGATTTCCAACTTTCAAAAAGTAAGCTTTGTTCTCTATAAACCTAAAAAATTATTCATAGTTTGCCCTCGGTATTGAACCAACTCTTTTTGTCTTCATAGACAGAAAAGCGAATTTTATCAACGCTGCTCCGCTAGTCACGGCCCTTTCTTCTCTAATTACGGGCTTTTCAAATCTCCCACTTCAGTGCTAATGGTTAATGATGTCCAGGCATTCTGCGCGATCGCTGGTCTTAAATGAAAGGATGGTAGAGCGGCAGCCTTCATCTAATTCGCTCACTCATCACTTTCTTAGA